AGTTTGCACACCTTCCTCTAAGAACTGTTGCTGAATGCACATCTCCCTGTAAGACCTGTTACTAAATGCACATGTACCTGTAAGACCTATTACTAAATGCAAACATTCCTCTAAGACCTGAATGTACATCTCCCTGCAAGACCTGTTACTGAATCCACATCTACCTGTAAGACCTGTTACTGAATGCACATCTACCTGTAAGATCTGTTGCTAAATGCACAGCTCCCTGTGAGACCTGATACTCCCAGTATGGGTGAGCCTATTATGAAGTTAATTAAATCATTAGAGTTGGCGCTAATAGATGTTTAGGCCCCTAGTACCGGTGTACCTTGTCTACTAATGAACCTAAGAGTTTCCAGACGCATTGTAATANCAAACCACATAATCAACCAACCAACAAACCAAAAAACCAACCAATCATAAAACCAACCAACCAAACAACCTACCACCCACTTGCAAACCAAATAATCAACCAACCAACAAACCAAAAACAACCAAACACCAACAAACCAACCCACCAACCAACCAACCAACCAACAATTAAACCACACAATTATTAATTGAGATATTCTGTCATAAGTCCATCCTTTAAACTAAACTTGTATACTATACATTTCATGTGAATGAATGAATGAATAAATTAATTCGTGCAACAGGTTTGTAAATTTTGCAATTCTTTGTTGCGGAATAATATTTTATCCTTTTTTAGGTGAATTATTTAATAAAGGTATCACGACCCAGCTCTCTACACTCTACAGGGTGAAAAATCCATATCACAGAGTGATTTCGCATCAGAAGAATTTTTCAACACAAATGAAAATTGATAGAAGTCAACGTTTGTAACAAATATCATAGTTAACAGATACATGAGAACACAGAAGGTTATACCAATGGTACGGATCTATTTATTGGTGTACGTCATTTACTACACGTAAACTAAAGCAAATTCCACTTAAGATTAAAATCTTAAAGTTTTCAGTAATAATACCCATTTTAAAACAGCTATTGTGAAGAAGAAAAATTATTTGAAATTATACTATTATACAATATGATTATAATATTATACAATATGATTATAATATTATACAATATAATTATAATATGCAACCACGGATAAACTTGCTCTTCTCATACTTGCGAATAAAACAAACGCTAGAGGAGCTATGAAGTCACAAAGTCTTACCAATAATATCGCACAAATAAGGATAGCCTGATCAAAGGATAAATTAAAACAGGATGAAAAGATAGATGGCTAGAAGGATAGATGAATATAAGGAAAGAAGGATAGAAAAATAGAAAGATAGAAAGATAGAAAGATAGATGGATAGAAAAATAGATGGATAGAAAGATAGAATGATAGAAAAATAAAAGAATATATGGATAGAAGGATTGAAAAATAGGAAGATAGAAGAATAGAAAGATAAAAGGATGAAAAAGATAGATTGATAGAAGGATAGAAGGAAAGAAGGATAGATTAGATATATAGATAATGAACCCTGTATCCTGGTTCTCCTAGAGCTAAGGGGGAATCTGCCAAACCGGAAATTATAAAACACTCCTGTATTCACACTTCTCCATATACCCATCAGAATACAGGAGTACTCAGATACAGGGATACAGGGATACGGGGATACTTCGTACAGGAGATGGAGATATATTGAGGTTTTAGTCAAAAATAGAGATGTAAGGAGATATTGGACATATTAATTCCAATAGAGTGGAATTATTCATTTGGTGTACCGTCTACTAAAGTGGAATTATTCATTTGTTGTACCGTCTNGCCGAGGATTACAGCTTTAAGGTTTCCCAGATCCTCTGGGGTCTCCTGTAGAGAGTGATAGAAAGGTAGGAAGGTGGACAAGCAGATTTGTAGAGAGTGATAGAAAGGTAGGAAGGTGGACAGGCAGATTGGTATAGTAGTAGAAAGGTAATACGATAGAAGGGCAGAGTTGTAGAATGGTAGAAATGTAGAGAGGTAGAAAACTAGAGTGGTGGAAAGGTATAAAAGTTTTCTGAAAGATTGAACAGTAGAAAGGTAGGCAGGTTGAAAAGTATAAAAGTAGAAAGGTAGAAAGGTAGAAAGGTAGAAAGGTAGAAAGGTAGAAAGGTAGAAAGGTAGAAAGGTAGAAAAGTAGAAAGGTAGAACGGTAGAAAGGTAGAAAGGTAGAAAGGTAGAAAGGTAGAAAGGTAGAAAGGTAGAAAGGTAGAAAGAAAGGGATTTATATTTAATAATCAAAAGTAAAAAAATTTAAAATTACATACTTATTTCTGAGCATAACTCTAACAGCTGAAATATACATATATATATAGACATTATACATAAAATTGAGCAATTTTTTCAACATGATTGGAGTTACACCCTTGCGTATAATTTTCGTCCAATTTAGTGCACGCAACCCGGCAAACCTAGCCCTGAAACCAGCACCTAAAATTAGCCTAATTTTCTCAGCTCAAATTCTGCTTGCATGAAATAAGACATTAAACTAAACTTATCTTTTCGGTGAAACCAGTTTTTGACCCATAGACCATAGTGCAGTGTACTGAGGGTTAAATGTCTATTTCAAGATAGATACACCAGCTGAACAGATCACTGTGGGTTAAATGTCTCTTTCTAGTTCCAAAGATCGACCCCATGCACAGTGCAAAGTCTCTGTATCTAGTGTCTATCTGTCTGCCTGTCTATCTATCTGTCTATCTGTCTGTCTTTCTGTGTGTCTATCTGTCTGTATATCTATTTGTCTATCTATCTGTCTATCTGTCTGTGTATCAAGACATTCCAACCATTTTTCTCCTAATTATTAAATCATTTCAAACTATTTAGCTAAATTGAATTATCAACTGGGAGGTCCTATCCCGGGTAGGTGTATCCGCACCCCTCCCCTCATTTTATCCAGAGGGGAACCCCCCATGGATTCCCCCATCTTATCTAAAGGGGCACACAACCCCCCTCCCATTAAACTCCCTTTCTACCACCGATGATAAAAGTTTAAATCTGTGCTCAATATGAATAAGTTAAATTGAGCTAACATACCTACACTCTACACTCTACGCTCTACACTCTACACTCTTGATAGATAGATAGATAGATAGATAGATAGATAGATAGATAGATAGATAGATAGATAGATAGATAGATAGATAGACAGATAGACAGATAGACAGATAGATAGATAGGCAGATATATAGACAAAAAGTTAGATAGATAGAAAAGTATAAAACACCAAATAAGTGGAAAATTGATTTAGGAACAGGGGTGGTATCCCCCCCCAGCCTGGCCTCCCCTCCCTCCTCCTTTTACAACCGGAATAGGGTTAAAGACAATGTGTAGAGTTTCTGGATGATTTATCTCTGAAATATTAGAACTAAATGGTCTACTTACTACAAATGAACCACATGGATAGTTGGAGACACATATGTAGTTAGACAAATAATAGATAGATAGATATATATAGATAGATTGATAGATAGATGGATAGAAAGAAAGATAAACAGATAGTTAAATAAATATATAGATGGATATAAAGGTAGATGGAGAATTAGATAGACAGAAAGATAGATTGTTAAATGTATAAATAGATCTATAATTTTTAGAACACCCTAATAAATATATCAGAACATCCTATAATGAATATATTGGAACACCCTAATAAATATATTGAATCATCCCTTGAATCATCCCTAATGAATATATGGTAACACCCTAATGAATATATTGGAACACCCTAATGAATATTTTGGAACACCCTACTGATTATATTGGAACACCCTAATGAATATATTGGAACACCCTAATGAATACATTGGAACACCCTATATATTGAATATAATGAAACTCCCTAATGGATATATTGGAACACCCTAATTAATATATTGGAACACCCTAATGAATATATTGGAACACCCTAATGAATATATAGGAACACCTTTTATAATGAATATATCGGAACACCCTAATCAATATATTGGAACACCCTAATTAATACATAGGAACACCCTAATGAATATATTGGAACACTCTAGTGATTAAATTGGAAAACCCTACTAAATATATTGAAACACCCTAATGAATATATCGGAACACCCCCAAATGAATATATTGGAAAACCTTAATGTACATATTGGAACACCCTATATAATGAATATATTGGAACACCCTAATGAATATATTGGAAAATCCTAATGAATATATTCAGACACCCTAATGATTATATTGGAACACCCTAATAAATATATTGGAACACCCAAATGAATATATTGGAACACCCTAATGAATATATTGGAACACCCTAATTAATACATTGGAACACCCTAATGAATATATTGGAACACCCTTTAATGATTATATTGGAACACCCTAATGAATATATTGGAACACCCTAATGAANCTCTTTCCATAGTTAATCTTCTCTTTCCTTTATCCAATCATCCTCTTTCCATGGTTAATCTTCGCTTTCCTTTATCCAATCCTCCTCTTTCCATAGTTAATCTTCTCTTTCCTTTATCCACTCTTCCTCTTTTTTTATCCAATCCTCCTCTTTCCATAGTTAATCTTCTCTTTCCTTTATCCAATCATCCTCTTTCCATGGTTAATTTTCTCTTTCCTTTATCCAATCCTCCTCTTTCCATAGTTAATCTTCGCTTTCCTTTATCCAATCCCTCTCTTTTATCTCCCTATTTTCCGTTCTCCTCAATACTCTTTCATTCTCAATCTCACTTTGTTCTTTTCTTATCTTTCCTTTGCTTGTTCTTTCCTCTTCTCTTAGTTCTTTCTCCTTTTTCCCTTCTTTTTAGTTCTTTCTCTTCTTCTTTCTTTTCTTTTGTTCTTTCTCTTTATTTTTTCTTCTCCTTTATTTTTTCTCCTTGTTCTCCCTTCTCCTTTTTTCTCTCTCCTTCTTCTTCCTTCTCCTTTAAACTCCTTTCCTTGCCTAATCCTTCATTGCTCGTCCATTTATTCCCTGATATTTCATTTCTCTTTCTTTTATTCCCTCATCCTTTATTTTTCATCTTTTTATTCCATCATCCTTTATTTCTCCTTCTTTTATTCCCTCATCTTTCATTTCTCCTTCTTTTATTCCTTCATCCTTCATTTCTTTTATTCCCTCATCCTTCCTTTCTCCTTGTTTTATTCCCTCATCCTTCATTTCTTTTATTCCCTCATCCTTCCTTTCTCCTTCTTTTATTCCCTCATCCTTCAATTCTCCTTCTTTTATTCCATCATCCTTCATTTCTCCTTCTTTTATTCCCTCATCCTTCAATTCTCCTTCTTTTATTCCTTCATCCTTCATTTCTCCTTCTTTTATTCCCTCATCCTTCATTTCTCCTCCTTTTATTCCATCATCCTTTATTTCTACTCTCAAATCCTACATTTTGTCTCCTTTTCTCCCTTTCTTCTCCTTTTTCCCCCTTCCTCCTCCATAGTGTGCAGTATTTACGTTATCTCTGCATATCTCTGTATTTTACCCCTGGTATCCCCGGGCAGTCGGCTTGAGTCGGCTTGAGAATGGTTCTGGGGTCCTCAGATTAACACATTTGAAGGAAAGCTACGCAAATCACTTTATAATTTTAGACCCATTTCTAACACGAGATCTTGCATATTATGCTAATCTTCTCAAATATGCAGGTGAAGTCAAATAGACGAGTAAACACGTGGAGAGACTTTTTTCGCGCATTTTTGGAAATTATACAAACAAACAGACATGACTGTAAGCAATTTTTTGAAAAGAAAAAACGTTTTTTGTATTTAATATTCCCATTTCAAATTCAATTTTAGAAAACAGACCTTTTTTATATTCCAACTGGGGCCCTTCAATTAAAAGGTATTAATGTGAATGGTCGATGGCACTTTATCATTTAAGGGTATCTCAAATTAAGTTAATAATCCACTTAATTATTTCAATCATATAGAGTCTTACTTTTGAAATTTGAATTCAGATAAACGTTAGAGTTCCTCTATTGGTTTACTGTTCTATGTCAGTAAACGATTCTACATTTTGATGGCTCAAACAGGTTTTCAAATATTCGTATTAAATGACTGTTAAAAAAATTAGTTAGTTTTATGAACCATATCTTTGAGGCATAAACCCTTTTAAGGCATAGTCAAGCATGATAATAAGCTTACTGGGTGAACGTTCTTTTTTAAACTTTTGTTTTTGTAATATTGATTTCGATATGCACACCCTCATCATAAATAGATAGATAGATAGATAGATAGATGTATAGATAGATAGATAGATAGATAGATAGATAGATAAATAGGCAGATATGCCATATATTTAAACTAAACCCCATCATTAGCTATGCTCGATTTAGATTCTCATTTACACACATACACTTAGACACCATAACACACCAACACACACAAACTTCACATTTCGTTTTCAATAAATTTTCATTATTTTGGCTCATGTATCAGCATAGCTTATCTCTTTGCCTAACTTTCGACTGTAAATACTACTAGTTGAAGGGCCCGGCGTTGCCCGTGGAAAACAAATATTTGAAAAAATTTGAAAAATTAAAAACAAAAATTTTAAAAGGAAATTATGATTTTTTTAGCCTTTGTCACCCCCAGGCTACCCATGAGTCTCCACAAAAAAATTTAGTTCATTCGGTCCAGATGTTTGGTTTGCTATTGGGAACATATTTACGAAGAAAATTAAGTCTGATCAGTAGTTTAAAACAAAACATCAAATATTTAGTTTTAAGGACGACGTGTGAATGGGAAAAAGACAAAATGGGACAGCATGGGATAACATGGGGAAACATAGGATAACATGGGATAACATAGGGAAACATAGGATAACATGGGATAACATAGGGANGAAAGATTTTTAAGGCGTTAACGGTTATATGTGTAGAGCTTACATTTCTGCAGTACGCATGGACAATATTACAAAATAAATGGAGGAATTTTTTGGGGGGTAAATTCAGCTCTATGTATATTCTCTGCTCTATGCATCTATAGCCTGTTAATTGGTTCCTGTGTCCCCAACCTGAGAACTATTTATACTTCACAAGAGTTATAATTTTTCGAAAACACGGACAGAAAAGTTTTGATTTTTTGTTTGTTTAAATATTTGGTTTCTTCGAATTTGCAGTTCCCCTGTTTTTGAAAAAGTGTCTGTGCTATTTACAAGATTTCAAGGATATAAGGAAAGGGGCGAAAATTTAGGAAGGGGGGGGGCAGAACTAAAGATATTGGGAGGGGGAAGGGGGGGAGTGCAAGGTCAGTTTAGATAGATAGA